GCTTGGAGGCCAGCGGGGATTTGCCCTGGCAGCTTTGAGCAGGCAGGCACGGACCCCCGGCTGTGGCCGGGCACCCCTTCACCCTGCCATCCGCTGCTGCCGGGGGGGAGGTCGGTTCGGAGCTGCTTCCAGCTGATGGTGGTCCCCCCAAGCCCGTCCTCCATGTGTTTGCTTGGGGATGCTCTCGGTGCTCTCCCCTGCACCCCGGTGCAATGGCTCCGGCTCTGCCCCCTCGTGCTGCCCTCCTCTGCCACCGGCCACCCCGCTTTGCACCGGGGCTGATTTTTTAGGTGGTGATGGCAGTTGTTTCAGCTTATCTTGGCCCTGCAATGTGCCTTGGACGCAGCTGTTTGCCTTGGGAGGAGGGTGGCTCTGGAAGCCAGGACCTGCCCTCGGGGAGCTCTTGACCCCCATCTCGACCTGATGCAAGCAGGTGACATTTGCTGAGGTCCTCGGGGAAAAAAGTGCTGGGAAACCCGCCATCGCAGAGGAGGTCGTCTTGTAGAGCAGGGCCGGGCTCCGGTTGCGCTTTTATTTGCTTGTTAAATATTTTATTTGCCTCTTCTGATTTAGTTTTACGGTGGCTTTAACTGGATCACGCTGTTTTCCAGCTGTCTCTGCACGTGTGCGGGGGAGAGGGAGGGCGAACGGGAATCGGCAGGGGGCACAGGGCAGCGCCCGGCCCCCCAGGAGCTGGGAGGGAGGGGGGACGGCGCGAGGCCGGGGATGCAGGACGAGGACTGGCAGCCCGTGCTACCTCCCGGGGTGCTCCTGGAGACGTACAGCTCGGGGCCAGCCGGAGGGGGGTGCATTCGTGTAACCGGTGTCAAAGCATTTTCCTTCCCTGAATTTGCCCACTGATGCTTTGAAACTGTTTTTGGTGCCGGCAGCGAGTTGCTCCGCAGGTTCGTGGCACTCTGGGGCAATGCAGGGACCATGCCCATGTCTGCATGTCACACCTGCTCCCGAGCTGGGGGCAAGGGGGGAGCACCCGCACGCCCAAAAGACAGGTGTTTTCCAGGGCCAAATGTCCATCCTTGGTGACAGTGGAGGCCGTCTGCCGTCCTGTCCTCCCGGCAGGCGGGTGTCCTGGGAGCAGCGCCGGGGCAGCTCCGGCCGAGGGCTGGAACCGCAGCTGAGGCTGCCCGGGGAGCGCTGGGCGCGTGCGGGGAAGCGTGACGAAACGGGTGGCGTGGGGTGGGCATGGTAACACCAAATATTTGAATGGGAGCAGAGTCATTCCGGGAAACGTGGTGGGTAAAAATAGACACAGGGAGTAGGAAGGCAAACGCTACCGTTGCTGGACTGGTGCGTGGGAAAGGGCGTCTGTG